GACCACAGCAGGCCAGTGTGGCTAGCTCTCAGAGAGTAATCGCTTGTATGTTTCCTGGATTAGAATAGAAACTAAGTAATTTTAGAATGGCTTTAAGAGCTAGGCTAAAATTTATATTAGTTGTGCCATGATAGAAAAAATACAGAAGTATATGAAACAATAGTGCACCCTGCAGAAGAGTAAGTCAGATATCCACAGACCCGCCGCGAGTTTATGAAATCAAAGGCCTTTAATCCTGTTGTAGCTTTCTGACTCCATCACTTTCTCTGGTCACCAGAGGTGAGCATAGCATCGTTTCTGAGATGATTCCCCTCTTTTCTGTGATTTCACGGGCTATGTATGTAATCTAAACAGACACTTCAGTGTAGCTTGTTTTGAACTGTATATAAAAGCACCATATCGTGTGTATTGTTTTGTGACTTGCATCTTTCTCTCCAAATTGTGAGACCCATCTGTCTTGATGCATGAATTTCTAGTTATCTTAAATTCACAGCTTATGACTATACCATCATTTATTCACTTACTCTGTCGATAGTTTTGCCCCTCAGTATTTGGCTATTACTATGATCCGTTTCACTGTGGATTTTCTAGGACATATCTCTAGGTGCCCATGTACCAGAGTTTATCTCGAGAATTTACCAAGGAGGAAAATTTGGGGGTTGTGGCAATATTATCAAATTTATTAGAAAATGCCATACATTTTTTACAGTACATAAAAAGCAATTATACCTATTTTTACTCTCACTAGCAGTGTAAGATTTGTTGCTGTGTACACATAAACCATCATACCGTTACTTGAAGTTGCCAGACTTACTAAGTTTTACTAATTGGGTCAGTGTATTGAGGTATCTTGAGGTTTTAATTTTACTTTTATGTTCACTAATGAATGAGTTTAAGCACCTTTTCAGGTGGTTACAGGTTACTAGGATTTTTTTCACTTCCTTTTATGAAGTGCCCTATTCGAGTGTTTTGCTCATTTCATTACTGGAGTTTCTGCCTTACCTCATGACTTGTAGAAGTTATTCACACCTTCTGGATGTAGGCTTGTCTTCAGTCTTTTATGTACTTAAGATTTTTTTTTTTTTTTTGAGATGGAGCCTCAAGCTATCCCCCTGGGTAGAGTGCCATGGCATCACACTCACAGCAACCTCCAACT